CTCTTTCCTTATGTGTGTATGTGCACACATCCTCGTACCTCACCGCTCCAAACCATAGCTCCAAACTTAATCCGGGAAAGGTGAACATTCCTGCATCATAACTTGGACTGAAAGATGAATGTGTAGAAAGCGAGCATGTCTCCAAAAACCTTGTTGAGCTGCAGGTTTATGCATGCATTTTTTATTAATTTATTAATTTTATTTTTTACAGAATTATGTTTTGATTATATTTTTGATTATTGAGCTGCAGGTTTAGTTAAGTGACTGCATTTTTTTCCATTTATAGGGATTTTTGTTTTACAGAAAATAATTTATTTATGTTCTGATTATTGTTGAGCTGCAGGTTTAGGCTCACTTAAGTGACTGCATTTAATTAAAAGAATTTAATTATTTATTCTAATTATTTAGCCTGACATATTTACTGTTTCAAAATGTTCTATATGTTTTTAAATATAAAATGTGTTCAGTGTAAAAAAAAGTTGTTTTTTTACCCAGACATTTAAAAATAACATATTTTAGAGCTGTAATTGCAATACCGTGAAACCGTGATTTTTTTTTTATCTACGGTTATCATACCGTCAGAATCTCATACCGGCCCATGCCTAGCGTCCACACGAAACCACCAAACTGACACAAAACGATGTAGTATACATGCCAGACCAGTATGTGGCGCTGTAATTGTGCCAAAGGGGCGTCGTTTTCAGATTTATCCACTCTGGGAACCGGTTAAAAAAAATATTGGTTTCACTCTCCCAAAACGCCGGATCCGTGTGGACAAAACGCCTATACGATACAAAATATATGCGTATACAGCTAAATAGGGCTGCACAATTAATCAAATGCGATTGTCATGCGTATTTTGATAGTAATGCCAGTTCTGTAATCAGCAGTAAATCATCATGTGCTTTCAGATGGAGCAGAATTTACTACACCGAGCCGTAGTTCACTGACAAGTTATGCAAAAAAAAAAAAATCTCAGACGATTGAGCGAACCGCGATCTCGATTCCATTTCGATTTATCGTGCAGCCCTACAGCTAAACACGTCTCCGTGTGGATGGGGCCTTATATTCACTAGACAAAATTATACATAAAAAAGACTGAACAAAGGGTCATTTGAAAGAGTTGACTGACATTTCCTAGTTTGCTAGTTTTGCCTCCATCAGTTTAACACTTTATATCAACGTGGATTTCATATGTCAATGTAACATTTGAATAGGCAGCCAGCATATAGGCCTGTCACGATAACAACTTTTTGTTGTGAGATATATTGCCCCAGAAATAATTGCGATAAGCAATATTATTGTCATTTTAAAGACCATTTTATGCCACTGAATATATAATCATAATGTAATGGCATAATAATGCAAGACGGCCTACACACTTCCAAATGACAACAAACTTTTTATTTTTAAGAATATTTAGATCATGGAAATTAAGTATCAAAATATTAGATACCTTAAAAAACTTGAATAAATAGTAAATAAACATTTTCTAACAAAAAGTGCAGAGTAACAAGTACAAAAAAAGAAAAATGCACAAAGAACTTGTATGGAGACTTTTCCATCTACAGATTTATCCCTGACCTTCTTTTCTCTGTAAATTAAGGGTGCACACTATTGCTGAAAAACACAATCACTACTCAGCAGTCAGATGTCCGTATGCACAAAGGCACAGATCCCTAAACAAGACCATATCTTCAGATAAAACGTTTTTTGTAGAAGCATTTTTTTAAAATTTGAACTAGCACCTCCTGACTACACCAGGTTATGTACGAGAAGCTGCAAAAGACACAGTACATAAAATGTACTGTGGAATGTAAAAAACACGGTGACATAAATTTTTAAGTAAATATAATGGCCGATATATTGCGTCACCAAAAATTATTGAGGTTATGCATGAATGCGTCATTTGTACGTTGCCATTTGACATTTTAAAACAATCTTTTTTTTTTTTTGTATGTTCTGGGTCATCAGATACAAAGACGGAAAGAAGGACTTAGTGATATCAATGTGAGACTTGAAAGTGATATGAATATATGCACTTTCCAACTGCATTTAAGGTATTTGATTAAAAGTTGTGTTGCTTTTCTGAACAGAATTTACAATAATTACATCAAAAGATCACTTTAATATAACAATGATTCATCCATTGCTTAATGAACTTAAAGATATTTTATTAAAGTAATGATTATCACCTGAAGCTTGACATCATAATCGTACCAGCAGCATGATATTCAAAATAAATATTGACATTTTATAGATGCGTATATAGTGTATAACAGTATCTGGGCAATGTCGCTGAATATATCTTGCTTTTTCAGCCTCCTTCTGATGATGTTTTATGCATAAAAATAAAATTATATAAAATATCAGTGACACCTTTAAATAACTTTCCTACTTGGATCATGAAACTGTTTAATGACATATTCTTTAGGAAAGTAGCTAATTGAAAAGCTTTTTAAAGTCATCACCATATTCACAAAGTTGCATTATTTTATTTTAGATAATATTCAACATATCACCCAACCATATATATATTTAACTACTGTTAAAAATTTGGGGTTGGTAAGATTAAAAAAAAAAAAAAAAAAAGTTTATGCTCACTCATACAGTTAAAAACTTGAATTAAAAATATTATTACATTTAAACATTTAAAATGACTGTTTTCTGTTTTTATATAATATTTTGATATTTCAAATTTATACCTGTGATGGCAAAGCTGAATTTTCAGCAGCTGTTACTTCAGTCTTCAGAGTCACATGATCCTTCAGAAATCATTCTAATATGCTGATTTGCTGCTTAAATATTTCCTATCAGTGTTAAAAAAAACAGTTGAGAAGCTTATATTTGTGGAAACCAGGATGCAGTTTTGAGGGTTCTTTGATGGATTGAAATCTTTTAGCATTTATAGAAACATTTTGTAACATTATAAATGCCTTTACTGTTACTTTTGATCAATTTAATGCATCCTTGATGAATACAAGTATTAATTTCTTTCAAAAACAGATCTTACTGACCCCAAAATTTTGAACTGAATTTAGATATCATATTTTGTGTAGGTGAACTCTGGAGAGGAGTTAATTTGGCTGCTTGGTAAATGTATTAAGCTGACCTTCAGGATTTCATTTTTCAATGAATAGATTTTACAATCATGAAACACTGTGGACAATATGTATGAAAGTATGCTTAATATTTCATGCCTCAGAGTGTTGTTTTTGTTTTTGAACGTACACAGAGGTGAATTATGATAGAAAAGGCAGCATACAGCATACACTTATTTCTCTCTGTGAGTGAGTTTTGTTCTCAAGTACATCAAGTAATTGTTGAAATGTAAGTATCCTACTATGAAATACTGTACTTGAATGCAACATAAGTATTTAAATTGCATTAATCTTTAACCTGGAGGAGAACTAGGCATATGCCGGTATCAAATTTTCATGTTTCGATTAATTGCTAATGCTTTTATCACGATATACGGTATTATCACTTACCGTGATATATCACATTACCGAATACCGGCACAAGTCTAAGGAGAACAGGATGAAGTCTCATTGCAGTGCAGCCATTATAAGGATGTTAATTTAATTAACATTTACTTGTTAATATTTAAAAAATGTTAAATACACACAGTGAAAATAAATGTTTAAGGACATACAAAAGAATATTATCAACTAGAATTGTCATCGCTTGTTGGTGATGAAGTTAAGCTTCTAAAAGCAAAATAAAGTCTTCGGTCTGTATTTTTAAATTTCAAGTGTTGGCAAGCGGTTTAAATCAGTCAGATTGTCTATGCGAAAGACTACATTTTAAGCTGATGCAATTAATATAGTTCCATGTTCTGCAAATATCAGAATTGAATGCTGGAAACTTAGTGTATTTTTGTTGTCCATCAGTGTTTGTGCACTGCAGTTGTTATTTGTTAGTTTACAACAGAATGACTTGTATTCCAACTCCAATATTTACGTGACCCCCTCATCTCGGATTTTTATGCTCCAGCGTTCATCTCATTGCAAGTCAAGCTGGACCTCTCCTCTCATGTCATTAAGCCCTGTGTCATTCATTCGGTGCCAAGATTGCCGTCTTTTTCCGAAAAAAGGAAAAGCTGGCTTGGCCGAGGCTCAAGCAGAGCTACAGCTGGGATGTGTTAAATATTCGGCAGACTGCGACTTCCTTAACTAAGGCTGTGCAAGGTAACGGTCAGGTTAATAACCGTGGGAATCGGCAGCAGAGGGTTATTTGCTGTCTCTCTTTTTCCTTCTCCTTTTTCCACTATCATTTCCCCCCTCTGGCTGTTCTCTCTCTTCTTCTCTTGTGGTTTCTTGCATTTTTATTCTGTCCTTGCTATTCTTTAATTTCCACCCTGGCTTTTTAAAATCAAATTCTGAAGTGTGGGAGTGCAGTAGTACAGAATAATAGTTTGATTGAATGGTTTTGGAAAATGTGTCCTTGAGTTCTTAAAAAGCTTTGTAGATGTCTTTGTGTGAAACTCAGTTTATGCTTTTCTGTCATTATCTGTGAGATACCTTTGCTCAAACCACTTTGTCGCTCTCGCTCCACAGACTCCAGGCTCCATGGATCAAATGGGGAAAATGCGCGGTCAGCCTTATGGGTCGGGCGGGCCTTACTCCCAGCAGCCCCATCAAGGGCCTCCTCCAGCGCCCCAGCAGAGTCCTGCTTACCCAGGCCAGGGCTACGGGCCCCCTGGCCCTCAGAGATACCCTATGGGCATGCAAGGACGTGTGCAGTACGGCCAGCAGGTCGGTGATCTTTCTTAGCGTTTTAAGGGGTTCACCGTTTGAATATGCTGCACTGTTGTAGTTAAATGAGTGAATATCCTGGTAATTATAAGTTATGAAGCTAGTAATAATTTTTTTTTGGTAACCTATTGCCGTGTGTTTTCTCATTTAATGCGGTGTTGCAGTGTTCTTTTAGTGCTGGCATCGATATGTCATTTCTTTTAGCATGATTTTAAAGTTAGTTTAGCAGTATAGATACACAGATGCTGTTTTCAAGGTAAAAAAAAACATTTGTATAAAGTCAGGTTGCTAATAGTCAAATTAAGGTTTATTAACACTGATGCAGTAAGAAAATTCTATAGTAATAATAAATTATTATTAACAATTCAAGATGTGATGTTACAGTCAGCCCATTATTCTCTTTAACCTTAGCCTGTAATTCTATAATTTAAAAAATGTGTTTATGCTGTTGAATGTATGCTTACATTCAACATTGTTTTACAATGTGGTTATGGTTATGCCTGAATATCTTATGTTTAACTTTCTTGTGAAAAAAAGTGAATGAGAATTATATTAATTTGAAGTAAAATGATTTTTTGGGGCTTTTAATTTTTGGGTTAAATCACCGTGTATCATAGTGTTTGGTGTTACAAAGCTTGACAAAAATGGCAACGTGTAGCATATGTGTCCCAGCTATCATGGGATCTTTAGCCATTCCTAGCCTTAATAAATAATTACAAATGTGATGCTGGACAAGGTCACACTTTCTGGTACAATAACTACATTTTATCCTTGTCTTATTATTTAGGGAATAGGAAGGATAAAAAGTTGTTAGGCTATGTACAGGTATATTGTGTACAGGTTATAAATAAAACTCATCTAATCTCTTTTAGCAATAAACTTTCTGTCCCAGTTTTAATCTTAAATATTATTTATGTGAACTCATATTAACAATAACATGGAATTTTGAAATTGTAATTTTCAGTGCTTAGAAGAGTCATGGAAATTTCTGATGTTGAAATATCAGTTTTCTATTAACATTGAGTGCTAATACCTTGAGCAATGCACTGTTTTAAATCTCAGGACGATTTTACTTTCTTACTGATAACATTTAGTACATTTTTAAAAAGCAGCAAATTAAAACTATGAATTCTCATCCTTTAATCAAGAACGAACTGGAAAAGTAATGGAAATTCAGGAAGTCTACTTTTATAAGGCTTAATACAACACCGATTGCTTCAAAGCAGCTATACAGTAATGAACAGGAAAAACCGTGTCAGTGTCACAAATACATTTGTCGAAAGAAGTGGGAGCCTTGTCTATAGCATGTCAATAAAAAGAACCGTTTCTTTTTTGTCTATTTACCCACATGATATAAATAAGTGTGGGAAATACCATGAGTGTAATGATCTTTAGTGCCATCCTACTTGTTTGCACAGGTGCCATCATATGGACAGCAGGGACCAGGGGGTTATGTGCAGCAGGGGCAGCAGCCCTATTACGGCCAGCATGGTCAGGGGCCTCACTCGGGCCAGCAGCAGTCGCCATACCCCGGGCCTTCCCCAGGGCAACCAGGAGGTCAGGGACCTTATTCACAGCAAACTCATGGCCCCCAGTCATCTGGCCCACACGGACAGGCTGGTCCTCCTTACCAACAACCCCACATGCCCCAGCAGCCACAGGGGCAGATGACCGGCCCTTCGCCGGGCCCGTCGCAGTCCCCATACTCGCAGTCCTCGGCGCCACCCCAGGCCAGCCAGTCTCCCTATCCACAGCAACAGGTGCCTCAGTCCCAGCCCTCGCAGCAGGGGAGCTCGCAGGCTCCTCCTGCATCCCAACCCAGTTACCCTCCTGCCCAAGGCCCTCAACAACAACCGCAGCAGCCGCCACCGCCAACATCACAGCAGCCACCGCAGACGGCCACACCCGCTTCTCAGCCGCCCGCGGGACATGGACAGATGCCACAGGGACAGCCCTCATCGTACTCCCAGAATCCCCCACAACAACAACAACAGCAGCAGCAGCAACAACAACAATCGCCGTATCAGCGTTTTCCTCCTCCTCCTCAGGTAACTTAAGCTTTTTGCTTTCGTATTTAAGTTGTGGTTCAGGGTGGATGAAAATGAGATAATGAAAGTGAGAGTTACTGAGATCGACTGTCACCACGGTGCCCTCGAGCAGCAGTTCTAAAGTATAGGTAATGCTTTGCAACGAAATTTAGTTAATGCATTAAGTGTCAGTAATTAACAATGTTCAGCACTTTTACATTATTATCACTGGGTAATGTTAATCAGCATTAACATATTAGATACATTTTTCAAGGATCATGTGTCACTGAAGACTGGAGTAATGAAAATTTACATTCAGCTTTTTGATCACAGGAATTAATTGCATTTAAAAAAAAGAACAATAGAAAACAATACAGAAGTTATTTTAAATTGTAAAAATATTTAACTGTTTTTGATACAATAAATGCAGTCTTGGTGAGCAGAAGAGACTTTGTTTAAATTAAAAACAAAAAAATCTTAACTGACTCCACAGTAATGTCTTATTTTCTAATAACAATCTATCATGGAATATTAATTGACAGTGAACAATAGTACATTTATGAATTCACTTACAGCATTTATTAATCTAGGTAAAAAAAATGAAATGGTTGTTCATTGTTAGCTTAAACCTAATGCATTAACTAATGTTAACGAATGTAATCTTATTGTAAAGTGTTATTAAAGTATCTGCCGAATAACTTGTAAATGCATACGTTTTCTAAACTGGATGGTGTTTTTAATCCCGTTTACTATGTTTATTTCTGAACATATGCAAATTTAAAGGTGAGATGTTAATAGCATGTTTAATATTCACTTTGTGTGTTTGATCTAAATTGGATGACTGCTTTTGCATTTATTTGAAGTCTGGAATGCATTTCATTTCACAGCGCCACCACATTTACAGACTCTCGTATGGTAATAAAAGCAGTATTGTAACTGGTTATTCTTAAGTACAAAAACAGAAACTTGCATTACTAACAGTGAAACTGACCTAAACACACATGCAATATCTGTAAGCAAAAGCATCTATACATGCGTCCACTGTCCTAAATACCAACTTCGACTGTCCTGGGCTGCCTTTTTCCCCCCACAGGAGATTTCCCAGGAGTCTTTTAGCTCCCAGTCCAGCGCTCCCCCCTCCGTTCCGCCTCTGGCATCGAAGAGCAGTACAGAGGACATGCAGGGCAGACCCTCCAGTCTACCAGTGAGTCTGACACTTTCATTTCACACAAGCTGTTGACTGCGTCCAACCGCATTTAAAGATGCATTGTGAATTTGACAGATTCACGAATGCGCAATCAAGTAGTTTCAGTCAAACGCTATTTTTATGTTGACTTTTAGTTCGAGGTAATTAGCTTGAAGATGTGAGCATAATTCAGCCTCAGCTGTACCTTTATCTCTGGAGTGATTATGTAGGACATTTGGGGTTGTTGCTAAATGAAGAACTTTATGTGGTCTGTCACGGAAATATGTGCCGTCGGTTCTCTCTGTATCTTTTTTTTTGTACTCTCCATGTGAATTCTGCTTCTGTCTTCGAGATTTAATTGCATTTGAGTGTGTGTTATGACCTGCGAGACTGTGTCTGAAAAGGACACATGGAAAGACACCCAGCTGCGCTGACTCGGCACACGTGCAGCCGACTGCTGTAGCTATGGCAACCTCAGGGACGCTATGATCTCACTTTTTTTTTTCCCCCTCCTAGATAAGATAAATAAGGCCAGCAGCCTCTGGCTGTGTGATTGTATGTGTATGAGAGCACTTGAGCGTGTGTCCCAGAGAGGAAAAAAAAAAAACTGTGCCAGAGTTCATTGTTGCCGAGTGGAGGAAGCCGTCACCGGAAGATTTATTCTAAAGAACAAGAAAAGTTTTTGTGGTATAATTAAATTTTGCTATTGTGCTGCTGATGTAATTTGTAATTTTTTTGTAATTTTTTACTATGATTTATATAT